TTTTCCTACATTACACTCAATTGGGAAAATCTAACGTCTGGGTAGAAGAACGGCAGTGTCCCACTGCTTGCTGTTGTCACTAGCTGCTCACCTAAGACGTGAGACAGTGGGATGACTGAGAAGCACACTCTGAGACCAGTCTGCCTGGATGTGAATCTCCGTTCTTCTGCTCATTGGCAGAATAACATACATTATTGACCAATGAAGAAAGAAGCCAGCTAATTGGGGGTATTAAATGACAACTGGTAAACAAGTTTTAGAATAAGGTTGCAACAGAATAATTCCTCAGGGTCTGTCCCTTAAATCAGTTCCTGATGATGATTTTCTTTGTTCTGCCTGAAATGCAGACACTCTGCTCTGCAAAGGGAGTCCCTGCCTCGCTCCTGTCACCCAGACCTCAGTGTGAACCTTCCTTTGAAGAAGAAAATAGGAAGATAGGGATAGGAAAAAGTGAGCTTTCTCTCCCACGGCCTTGGGCACAGGACAAGGTGAAGTTGACTCAGCTTTCTACCCATGAGAAAGTGCCGTGTGGGCCCCTGGGCGAGTTATCTACTCTCATTTGCAAAATTGAGTAACAAAGGTCATACGTGGGGTTCCTGTGAGGGTTAAATGTGCTCATACATGATCAGCATCCAGAAGAGAACCCGGCAAGGAGCAAACTCTTAGTAAGTGTGGCTTATCCTCTACTTCCTTACCTTTTCTCTCTGAATCGCCTTCATTTTCTGGAATTCAGCTTCTTCAGCTTCCTTCTTGATTCTTACAGATTCTTCTCTTTTTAGCTAAATCGTATTGAGTTTACAGAGGACAAAAGCCAGTTACCATTTTTCAGTCTGAACCTCTAGAACACAAAATTATGATGCAAAGCAAATTACAGTATTGTTTGTGCTATACCTCGCTGTGATTATAGGTTGAGGCTGCACGCTGCTGAGATCACAGAGCATGAACAGGCTGTATGTGAAAGGTCTCTGTGTGTCTCTTCCTTGGTCTGTCTGTTTCTCAAAGAGTCTATCTCTTTGTATTCGTTTGAAAAGGGGAAGGGAAGATTATTTTTCCTGATAGCAAAAATTCAGAGTTGGTTGTAAGAATCAGTGGGTATCGTTAATCTGTTTTTGTACTAATTCTGCTACCAGCATGGAGTAGACAAATTCACATTCTTAGAACCCAAACATCATAAACACAGTAAACTTATTGAGGACAGTGTTGACAGAGAGCTCGTGTAAGAAGCCTCGGTATTTCTCTTCACATCTCACTTGCAGATCTCTTTGCTTTCCAGAGTTGCTTTCTGCAATGGGTTTGAAGGTTTTACGCTTTTAGTAAAGTTGCTATGTTAGTTCATGGTTACTTGAAAGTGTTGGCACTCAAATTCCTTGCCAAAATTAAACTAACGGAGATGGATTCTGACCTTTTGCTGGTATTTAGATTGCATCAGTTGGAGTTGTTGTTTCTGCCTGACTTCAGTTTCCGGTAGGCTTCCGCCTAAGGAGAAAAAAAAAAGCCACAAAGGTGAAACACGAACATGAAGCTGAAATGTCAGCTATCAAGGACTAATTAATACATGATACGTCTGCAACACGAGTTTCTGTAACATTTTAATACCCCCAGAAATAAGAACATACGCAGTTTCCTTCAAAACCTTAAAGAATGGGCCTCACTTAAAAACACTTGGATGGAAAGATGAGGCTGTATTCTGAAAAGGAAGGGAAAACTCTACAGAGATTTTTCAATCATGTGGGCATTAAAAAGTTTTCACTTAGAGTGAAATCTTACCTGAAAGGTCATGCTAAGCAGTAAGAAACAGTGTTTGCCTAGGAAATTCTAGAACATTCCTCCTGCTTGAATATGATCATGCCTTAACATAATAAACATGGTGACCAATGATACTTCGATTGGTTTTCTTCTAACTGTCCACCCGATGGCCAAGAAGTGAGGCTCAGGGAACCCTCAGGGGTCTTGCCACTAGGCAAATAAGTAGTCTTTATAGCCTGGTTTCTAAAAATATAAAATTCTAGTTAGTGACTGATTCTCAATCCAGGTGGTTTTTCCTTTTTTAAGTATTCAAAAGAAAACTATGGCTGTTAGATTATTTGCCGGCTTTCTCTTACATCTAAAATAATTCGGGGCCAGAAATCCTTGCAGCTTGACGATCATCTAAGAATTGCCATTTAGGGATTTCTCGGTGTTTATGCAAGTTTGGAGTGTATCCTTTGAAGTAATTCTCTGGTGCTTTGGTCACTAGAAGTGTCAGTTTTCCAGAAGATTCACTCTCACAGAAGATGCATTAAAACAATTTGTATTCACTGCAGTTTTTGTAATTGAGCTGAGAAAGACACCATTGGGACTTTTCTTCTGAGTTCCCAAAGATATAAAAGGTCTGTTTGGTTTTGGCCCTTCGGTGGCTATTGAGGAGGATGGGGGAATTTCTTTTGAAACTGTGAGCAACACGGAAGCTTTTATCTAAAGTGACCGCCACTTTTACTATCCCCTATAATCTTTCCAACATTTTAAAGGGTAGAGAAATAGAGGACTTGAGAATTATAATAGAGAGAGCCAGATGTCTAAGCATTTGCAGATTTTGTTCAAAACTCATCTCAAAGTTGAACACTTTCTAGAATTTTCTACCCATAATCCTCCCACACACAACATTTGACCCTTCCTAATACTTCATATAATAGAAAGTTGAAATAAGAATCCTGCTCATTTTCTGCTAAGGCCCAAGACAACAGATGCCAACTGTTCCAAATGTCCGAGTGAGGCGCCTGGCTCCCAAAGCAGGAGTTACAAGGAGGATACTCAACACGAGTTTGAGGAACCTAAACTGGCAACTGGTTCCAACCTAGAAAAGATGTTCGATGGGTCGAGAGAAGGTAGAAATCTGAGGAAGGATGTCAGTCTGAATTCCCTCTCCTCTGTGTTTGCGTTTCAAGGAGGAATCTTCAAGACAAGCAAGAAAAGTTTAGTTAAAATCACGTGGAGATGTCAACCTGCATTCCCCAAGAGAATGAGGGTTCTAGGGAACCCACGCCTAGAAAAGTTAAAGCCTAAAGGCACAAGCCCATAGTCAAATGGCTACTCCGAGTCCTTAAGAAGAGGCAGCTGCACTGCAGATCGCTGTGTTCACAGATTTTGAGGGAAGAAAAATTGTTTTCTGTACTTCCAACGTATATTTCTTCTTTTTGAAGGTTTCAAATGTACTTTATTTCTTCATATTTTTAATGGGTACACAGTGCTTTTTACTTGGCATCAGTTATGAGTTGGTTTTGAAACAATCCAGTATTACACCAGCCGGGATGATTACTGATCTCTCCATTCCTTTGGGGTGACTCTGCCAACAGGGGACAGGTTCCATGCTACTCCAGTTTGTGGCATTGTGTATGTCCATACAGCAACACAGAAAGTGGCTCCACTGGCTAACACAGCATCACCATATTTACCATGAAAATCAGGTGTTCGTTTCTGGTGGTTCAGCCTCGCCATCATTTGCTGAATGTTTAACTGCGGCAACTCCCCCAACGTGTATCTCATGAAAAAGAATGTCAATCTAAAACCGTCTTGAAGGGATTTGCCTTCAAGAGAACAGGGCCTTTGTAGGGGTCCTACAAAAAATGACTGAGAGCCAACAGTGAAGCCAAGCACTGCCAGGAAGGAAGTCTGTCCTCTCCCTCAGGGAGAGCCAGGTGTGAGATGAGTGACAGGAAGGGAGGGACATGGAAGAACACCAAGAACTGCCTGAGGGAGCAAGATCAGTCAGCATATAGCTAGGATCAATGAAACAAGGATCACTGCCCCACAGACCCCTCCTCACCTCCCGTCTGCTCTTCTGTCTTTGACCCTGAAAAGGGCATAATCTGGAAACAGGAGTCAGAGAAAAGTCCAGCTACACCCTCTTTCACTTGTTTGCTTTCTACATGAAATAGGCCTAGGCTGGGGCACAGGAGAAGCTTCAATCTCCATTAGTAACAGTGTATTGACCTGTTCCCAGGACTGAACATTAATTACTGAAATGAAACTGTTTTAGTCCTAATAATAGCTGAGTAACTCTTCTCTGAGAAAGACCAAGATTTAATTTCTCACTTCTTCCAAAAAGCACAGGAAAGGCTGGTCCTACACAGCTGGTTTGAGAGACCAGTTAGGAGGAACTACAGCTGTTTTTTGACTGTGCCCCTCAAGTCTGGCTTAGTCAGCATAAAGATGACACAAGATTAACTCTTTTTATGCAACACAATGGGACGGTGGTGACAATATTATTATTTTCACTCGTTAGATGATTTCCAAAGTAGCTTATTTTTACTTATATGGGGGAATATATCTCTAAAACTATTACAATAGTCAGTTGTCTGTGACTTGGGACAGGTGGGTATTAACTAAATTAACAGATTTAGTTAATACAAACCATGTCCAGCCCTTTAAGTTCTCAGCTGCTGCTAGAAGAGAAAAAAGAAAAGCTGTGGATGATTCCCATTAGGTAGCATCCCCTCTGAATGATTCAAACACCGGCCAAGGTGGCCCAGACAATTCATCCTACTGGCAGCACCTGCTCCAAAGGCCCAGAGGTCTCTATCTGCAAAATGAAAACACAGGTGACATTTCTCTTTATACCCACCACTTGGTCTCAGCTCAGTCTCATCTTGGCTTTGGAATTGACTCTCTATTCCTTTTGTTCACATTAACATTTCACTGCCCTGGTTAATATGCTTGTGCTAAGCTTTGACTCCCTTTCTCACTAGTGCTATGACAGGGTATGTGTGGCACCCATGTAAGGGCTCTTCCGAGTTGATCTAAGAGGCTCTGTAAAGTTCTAGTTTAATTGTTAAGTGGCAATTAACCCACCACTGTATTTACACATAACCATGGCATCATATCTTTCTACTCAAAGAAAATCACAAAAGAATAATATACCTCATTAAATGCTTTTCATCCCAAGCGACTTGGTGGCAAAACCACCTATAACATACATTCAAAGACAGACATACACAAAGTGCTTATAGTAGTGGCTCTCAAACTTCCTAATGCCACAGCCCTTTAACCCACAGGTTGAGAACCACTGGCTTACAGGGTCCGTGGCTGGCCCTGCCCTCTCCATTTAGACAACTGGTGTGCTTGCTTACCTAGCCTTCTGGGCACCAGGTGAACTGGTTTAGCTCTATTCTGTTCTTTCCACTTCTCCAGGTTAGCCAACTCCTGCTCAGCAACTAAGACAGGTGAGAAATATCAAGTCATCAGTTGTTAGAATTCCAAAGGAAACTGGTCTCTTCAAAGCATAAGGAACAACCATCAGAAGGCAATTAAATACCTGCAAGCATGAGTGAGCAAGATGTCCAGGAAAGGAAGACACCGTCAAAACCCTGACCTTTGGGTCACCTGGGCCCACCCCTGTGGTACCCTCTCTCCAGCACAGAGGGGTCAGAATGAAAAACAACCTGAACTCCCATTAAAACAAAGAAGTGTATGTCTTCCTTCTAGACTACCATTCCTCAAGCCTTATATCAAAGTTCACTTTAAAGATTGTCCATAGGAAATTTGTGCAAAACTAGAATATTCACATCAATAAGAACCATCCACATACAGGTAAACTCATTTCCCCAGGGAATTCTGATGCCTAAATTCATGTTATTTTAAATGTTCCCCAAGCTTACTGCACCTGAGAAGAGTGCAGGCTCTGCGCCACAGGTGGGCACCCCTGCCTCTGCTTCCTGGCCATCAGGAGAATGGGCAGAGCCTGCTCCCCACCCCCCCCCAAACCCAGGGTTCATTCCCCAAATGGTCACTCTGCTGACAGCAGGGGTGCCAGAGAGATATTAATACCTGGCTCTGTTCCTCCAGCCTTTGCCCTAATGGTCTCAGTTAGACCTGATTGTTCCAAATGCCCATTGATGTCGTTTTTTAATTATTAAGACAAAAATAAAAATTCTGAAACATCTGAAAAAGTCAGACCAAAATGAGACTTAAGTTCCTGTTAAATACTTAAATCAAAAGTCCATAAGACACCAGAACTGCTGACAGTTGTGATCTTCATATTCTGTACTGAGCCATGGTGACACTCAGGTGGCTACTGGTCTGGTGGGAACCCTTTAGAGAGCTACTTTTCTGTGGTGGCCTTATTTCCGTCATTAATCATAAAATTAGAGTTGCTACTAGTCATCTAGTAAAGGGGAGGCTCAATTTTCCCCTAAGCTGACTTAAACAAGCCTCACAACATCTTTGTAAGCTAAATTTTTAGCTTTCCTTCAAACTGCAAAGGACCATGCCATAACTTTAAGTGGCAGCATTTACATTTACCATATTTCAATTCAACATAATAAGCACACACTTAACAATTAAGTACAAGAAGCACAAAAATATGGCCCTGGCCCTCAAGGAGATTATAATCTAGAGAAGAAAACTGAATTACACAAACAGCTCAGGGAAGGCTCTGATAGTTACAAAATGAGAGTACAGAGGCTGGGGAAACCACACCAAGGAGAGACGGGGCAAGTCAAAGGAGGTACAAACTATCTCAGTCTATCGGGTATATAACTTGTCTGTATTTCCAAAGTACCCATACTGCCATAAAAATATTAACATCAGCAGTCAGCCCAACTTGACAAGGATGAGATCCGTCTATTGGCAATAAGCATAATATCACTTAAACACAAGAGAAATCTAGAATTTACTATTGTGCCAAGAATTCTGTTATTAATACAAACTCAGAAGTATTAATAGAACATTTTTTTCTTGTACTATACACTATAGGTGTTCAACAGTAGAATATTTTTAAAGGTATAATTAAAACTGAAGTTTAAAAAAACTTGCTGGGATTTGGTGAGTCTATATAACTCAAAAAATAAAAAGACTTCATACCAAAGAAAACCAATTGTAAAGAAAATGAGAAACATCCTGAAATAATATACATACTTCTTTGTATATGATTCCTCCGACTTTCATTTGGTGCTATCATGGTGAATGCACTTCTGCTAGAATAAAGAGGGGGGAAAAAAAACCCTGCTTAGTATCATGAGAAACAAATGCATAGAAGCCAACATTCTTTCTTTTTAATATACTGTATTTATGATCATCATCAAATATGTACTGTGTAAGTTTATCTTAATACCCAGGTCTCTTCTCCAGGACTTTGCAATCTTAATTGTCAAGCAAAACAAAAGGACCCAACCAACACAGAGATATGAAGCACTTTATGAAGTGACAAGTGACAGGATGGTAGACCATCCTGGGAGGGCTCCACTATTCCTCTAGGTGGTGCTAGTGAGCTAATACTGTTAAGATGGCTTTAGATTGGCTGTCTTCCTTAATAATGCACCCTGGGCAGCGGTTCTCAACCTGTGGGTCGTGACCCCTTTGTAACAATGAAAATACATGCTGCATATCAGATATTTACAATTCATAACAGGAGCAAAATTATAGTTATGAAGTAGACACGAAAATAATTTTATGGTTGGGCATCACCACAACATGAGGAACTATAATATTAAAGGGTCACGGCATTCGGAAGCATTAGGAAGGTTGAGAACCACGGGAGTAAGGGAAACACTGGTGCATCCTTCCTTCCCAGAGTACAGGCCATCTGCCTGCTCTAGACAAACCATCTGAGGAGCTGACTTGCCAGTCTTGGGCTTTTAGGCTTTGATTTTTCTACACCTCGACTTTTCTACGTCTGTGTCCACGGGGTTACTTACTCTCCTAGGGACATTGGTGGAGTATAATCAGCTCAGAGAAACAAGGTGTCGCTACAAACAAGGGGATCAGGGAACATTTTATTTCTGAAAAAATATTCAGGACTGAGATACTAGGAGCTTAAAATATTGTGAGCTTTTGAGGACAGGAACTGTGCTTAAATGATGTGTATTCCAAGTCCCTGGCACAGTGCCTGGCACAAAGTGCTACTTGATAAATGTGGGCTGAATTGAAACAAAATGATGCCAAAGATTGAGTGTGTAGTGGGGGGTAGCTCTTTTTGAAATGATGCCTATGGTCCTACAGAACATGAATAGTTCATAAAGCAAAAATAAAGCGTGGTAACAGCCTACAGCATACATGTGGGTACAGTTCCAGAGGAAATGCTATAAGCACAGCCTGCCTATAACTACAGGATTATTATAATATCTGCAATTACATCTGAATTTTTTTAAATAGTAAAATAAAAACCCAGATACTCTTACAAGTCTCTCTCTCTTCTACCTGGAATATAAAATTTCAAAGGACAAATTAGCAAAGACCAAACAGTAAAGGCCAAAAGCACTGATAACAGAAGCCATTTCTTCCTCATCTCATTATTTTCCTAGCAGCAAGCCTTCAGCCAGCTTCAAACCAGGCTTTAATTTTAGACTTGTAAATGTGAGGTATGCAACAACCCTTGCATGCAAATGGGTCTGCTGGCCGCCCAATTACCTAATGTACATCAGCAGAGTTGCATGTGTAGCCTAGCACACATACCACGCTGTGAATACAAAATTAGGAGGCTGCCGCTGGAAATTAATCCCCTGTCCCTTGCATATGCTTTGTTCACCCTAAGAAAAATTTTTCACTCCTCAATTGCCAGTATTTTATAGGAGCTTGGGAGCTGCATGTCTGCGGGATGTCCCTGGAAACTTGAATATGCCACAATGGTAAGCCACTCTAGAGAGCCTTGAAGCCGAAACACGAGGTAGTGGATTTAACTGCCAATCATGGAATTGCTGCACCACCTTCAACATCTGGAAACGCTGGGGTACAGCACTTCCCACCATACTACAGATTAGGCTACACTGTCGATCAGCAGTTGTCCAACTTTATTGTGCATGCTGTGAATTAAAATTTTAAGGCTCCCCCCTCAGTGACTGCCTGGACCCCTTTTGGCCAAGAGGATCCCTAAAACTGAGTTGCTAGCTGTGAGAAAAGATCAGACATGCCTCATCATGCCCCCTCTTCTCTTAGTGATGTCCTCGGTGACTAGCTAATAGATCTAAGGCTATGCAAGACCTACCTGCAGGTCCTCAATATACATAACCACTTGATTCTGTCCCTTCCGTTGTCTCTAACAGACCATTCACCTGAAGCTCTCCTTTTCACTGATTCCTGGTTTTTCCAACAGAGCCTAAATCTTTTAGCCAATTGTCAGCTAAAGAATTTTTAAGCCCACCTGTACTGTGTAAGCCCCCCCCCCTCACTTCCAGATGTCCACCTTTTGGGGCCAAACCAATGTATGTTTTCCACCTATTGATTTACGACTTTACCTGTAATCCCAGTCTCCCTAAAATGTATAAAACCAAACTGTAACCCCACCACCACGCTTCCATGTGCTCATGGTTTCCTGCATGTGGCTCCAGGTCATGGTCCTCAACTTTGGCTCAGAATAAACCCCCTTAAATTATTTTATTCAGAATGGCTTCTGTCCCTCTGCAATCCAGTCACCTAGAGGGCGTGTAGGCAGGCTTGTTAAAGGGCAGAGTTTCTGATTTAGTAGGTCTGGGGCAGGGCCAAATAAATCTGGTCTTAAGTCCCCAGGTGATGCTGATGTTCTTGATCTAGGCACCACACTGGGAGAACCAGGGCTGTAGATCAAGCAAGCTATCTTAGAAAATTTGGGCTAAAAGGAAACTTAGGGATTAATAAATCATTGTTAAAGACACAAAGGTTAAATCATGTGCCAAAGAACACTAATTAAGCAACAGTGCTGAGACTCAAATGCAGGAGTTTTGACTTAGGCCAGTTAACCGCATGCAGCTAACGCTTTAACTCAATGTAGAAAGCATAAAATATTGTCCTTCAACTTTACCCCCTTGACAGACTTCCAAAGAATGCAACCTACTTAACTGAGCACCTATTAAGGACTTATTACATCAAGGCGTGTGGAGAATGAGAGCAGACACCAGTGCAGATATAACCACTTTAACAGAACTTACATTTTCATTAGGAACAAGTCGAGAAACCAGAGCATACCACAAGAGTACCCAAACAAGAGTTAAAGTGGGATAATGCAATGAGTCAGAGATCCAAGGCAGAGGAGAGTCAGAGGCTGCAGAATAGGAACTGAATAGCAAGAGCAAAGAATATAAATTGAGTCTTGAAGATTAGGATCTGAAATGGCAAAAGTGTTCCTTTGCCAGGACTTTGCTAGAACCAGCTTCATAGAGAGTTTTCCACATCCCTGGGATTCTCATATGGAAATTCTGGAAAAGGTTTTTTGGGGGGGGGGGAATAAATCAATTGGTTTGTAAAACATTGTACATTACGATCTTTAATCTGATTAAGTTTTTAGACAGTGACACTAGAATCTTCAGTTTTAGGAATAGGACTGCAGACAATTTGTGGTTAATATGCGTAGCCTACAAGTATTAGTACAGGAATAGCAGAAGAAGGGAAGAATTAGCTCTGAAATTAGAGGTTTTTAACCAAAAGCATCTTAGCTTAAACCTTGACCATGGTCCTAAGTAATAAACGCTTTATGTGAGAGAAGTCTTTGGCAACCTTCTTAGCAATATTTTATTGGCTGAAAATGCCAAATCTAAAACATTTTATGATATCCACAAGAAAGCTTTGCCAAGTAACTTAGCTTCTATTTTTCTTACTTGCTATAGGAAGAAGAGTTTAAATCTCAGGATGCTTTTTGTTTTTTAATATTGCATGGCAGAGTGTCATGCCTTGGTAGAGACAAATATTCGTCTCGGCTCTCTTAGCTTTTTCTTGACATGAGTAGCAAGGATAATTTATTAATGTTTTCAGCCAATTAGTTTCTACCCACAGCAGAAGCCTTTGCTGTTTTAGCCTGTGTGCCATCCTTTGCAACTGTCAGACTCCCAAAGCTGCTGAACTGGATGAGCCCAACCAATATTTAGTATTCTGGGCATTTCTTGATTAAGCAACATTCAAGCTACTGAAATAAATGTATACTTTTGAAAATGAGTCCCCTTAATTACCTCATTGAGATTTAATGAAATGTCTCAATTTGTAAGATTGTTTTCACTTCTCAGCAGCACCCATCAGTAAGATATACTACTATGATCTAGACGTCGCACAAGACAAAGAAAATTTTTTTTCTGCACTATAAAAAAATACATAAAATAAAGATAGTCAAGAAATGTTTTTGTTGTGAGGTCTCTCCTGGGCAACACAACTGCATCTCGTGTGTGGATTCCTGCACCGTTTTTATAAGGTTTCATCAATGAGCATTACAAAAAAAATGCTATGTTGGAGTTCTGGAAAATATCTTGGCTGGCTACAGGTATGACATAAATATGTCCACTGGTGTGTACACACTGTACCAGATGTGATTGAAATTTCTAATTAGGAACAACACTGGTTTGACTGAAAAAGAAACAGTCAAGAGCAAAAATTCAGAGAGTGATAGATGATGAAGTTAGAAAGAGATAATTCCAGGCAGAGTAGTAGACATGTAAAGTCTATAGTCCTAAAAAGAAATTGGTTTGAGGTTTTCAGAATTCTAGAAAATCTTATTCTTATACATGAATAAGAATAGGTCACCTTGAGTAATGCTTAGGACATTACTTGAGCAAAGTTTGAGGTAACCAAAGACATTAGATATTAATTTTTCTAGATAGGGCCTGCCATATCAGGTTTTGCTATATCACCTTCAATCTAGGAATCTGAAGCTTACTGATTTTACTCAATGTAAGTCAACATTTTTGAAGCATTTGAGTCTCCGAAAGCTCTCTAATAAATAGATCAAATTCCCAAGAGAAACAAAAGGTGACAAGATCATGTTGAATAAATCACTATTGACCCCTAAACTGGTTATACATCGCACCACTTCTGATGGAGTACTAGGGTAAGGAGGGGCTTAGAAATTCTCTTTGGTCTCAGAACCCGCCGAGCCTAAGACATTGTCTGCATATCCAATAAGCAGATGTGAAGTTGGTTAGTTCTTTCATTAATATAAGTCATAGCTTCTGTTAATGGGCTGAATAGACACGCAGGGCATAAAGATAAATAAGTAAGAAATCATCAGAGCCTTTGTTTA